GGGCGCGCCGCTCGCGAGACGCCCCCCGGAGAAACCCTCGCGAGCCGGAAGCCTCAGCGGGGCCGCCTGGGTTCCGAACTCCACGGGACGTTTGCCCCGCATCTCCCCTTCCCCGACTGGGACCGGAGGACAGGGGAGTCCCCAGCTAGCATCCCCCTTGGGGAAACTGAGGCTGAAAGAGCCGGAGAGGGTGTCGCAGAAGGTGGCGACCCCAGCGACCGAGGACATGGGGCAGCGTCAGCGACGGGGGGAAAGCAACTGGGGCTGAGGGAGGCGAACCCCAGAAATAGGAAACTCCGCAGACTTGGTTGTAGAGAGTCCTCAACTTGATCCCAAATGACAACTGCTGTGGGACTGTGCCAGGAACCGCGCCCTGGGCTGCCAGGCCTGGAGGGAGGGTCAGGCTTGCAGCGTAGAATCCCCACCCGGAAAGCTTCCGATCAACTGAGAACTCAACTGAGAACGCAGCTGCATTCCAACCCCCCATTGCTTTCCCGGTGTCCCAGCCCCGAACCCGACCGCGCCTGCTTTGCTGTAGGAAAGACCGCATCCCGCCGAAACCTACTTCACAGCGTTGCTTGTTTGTATTATCGAGAAATAATTTTGACTCCTTGACCTGACAAGTCACCAGCTCTGGGTTTAGCCCAGAAAAAGAATGGTGGTGAGGACATTTGAGGCACCATCAGACCGGAGTGGTGAAGTCAGCTCTAGGAAAAAGAAAGGTTTTATCCACAAATTGTTACTGAAATATGTGGCGAATAAAAAGTCATTTAAAGAAAAATAGTTAAGGGGACCAGCAGTTAGCGGAATGGCTATGTCGCTGAACTCCCATGTGGGCAACCGCGGTGGGAGTCCCGGACCCGGTGGCTTAAACTCATGCCAGGTGCGTGTGTGTGGTGCCCAAGATCCCCAGAGGAGAATGAAGAAGTGGTTGCAGCGTGGCCACCCCACTCCCCACCCCCTAGTGTGATGTCTCGCTTTCTGTCTCTGTCTCTCTCTGCCTTTCTGGCGAGCGCACGCGCCCTATAGCAAAAACCTCTACCAAAAAAAAAGAAAAATACTTAACAGGATTCTGCCTACCCAGTGGCTTACTGCAATCTAATAGAGGAATAAAACACCTATCTGAAATAAAAATTAAAATTGTAATTACAAGCGCTAATTGCCAAATTAATTTATGCAATACCAATTCGAACGCACACAGTGGGTATAGGGGTATAGTGTGCCTCCAGGGACCAGGTAAATAATGCAGTCAAGTGGGCACCATAAAGACTTGGGCCAACAAATGCCACGTTTTCTTTCAATGGGGACACTGTGGGAATGCAGGCCTTAGACGGCCAGTTCTTCAAAACTGCCAAGAGAAGGTGGAAGTGTATATTTCATATGAACTCTTCTTATTTGAAAATGCTGGCAAATAAGTCCATTTTTGGGGGGGTGGGGGGTGGGAGAGATTTTTGCCATAGGGCACTTGCACTCTCCAGAAAGATAAGAGACAGAAAGACAGAAAGCAAGAAATCACTCCTCCAGAGGGGAATGGCCACACCGCAATCCCTTCTCCTCCATTCTCCTCTTGGGATCCTGGGCATGCACACGCGCCTGGTGTGAGTTTAAGCCACCAGGTCCGGGACTCAAACTGTGGTCGATTACATGGGAGCCCAGCGACATAGCCATTACCCTAACTGCTTGTCCCCAAATAAGCCCATTATTTTTTAAAGGACCACTTTTTTTTATTAATTTTATTTATTCGTTAATTTATTTTAATTTGGCCATAGAGAGATACAGAGCGAGAGAGAGAGAAAGTGAGAAAGCAAGCCACTAGGTCCAGGACTTGAACCGCGGTTGGCCATGTGGGAGTGTCCAGCGCCTTAACCACCACGCCACCTGCTGGTCCCCCCAAATAAGCCCATTTTAAAAAAATACTTCAAATTGATCAAAATATGTGCAGGGGCCAGACAGTGGGACAACAGGAAAATGTAATGCTCTTTGAGGCCGATCTCCCTGAGGAATGTCCCTGTTGAAGTCCACAGACCAGGATACCAGGCACAGGCCTGCCAGTGACCCTGGGAGAGCTGGGGGGGGGAGGGGTGATGATGGAGGGGATGTTCTTTCTCTCCAAAAATGAAATAAAATGTATACATATGTATGCAGTTCTGATGTAGTTCAGAACCTGTGAGTTTGCAACCTGTATCCTCTCCTGCGTATGGAGATATTCTTTCCTCCATCCTGCCAGAGCCTTGGGCATGCACACACACACCCAACATGTTTCACATGCCACTGAGGCCAGGGCTTGAACCACAGTCGGCCATGTGGGATCCAGCCCCCTTAACCACTAGGCTACAGGGCCTGTGTACTCTTATAACGATATTAAGAAGGTAGAAACCTAATCTGACTCGAGTAATAAGAGATGCAGTCTTTGGGAGTAGGTAAGGTCATCAGAGTGAGTGGAACCCCCATGATCAAATAATGGTGGCATTTCTGTTTTAAAGAATTATTTAATTTTTGGGACCAGCAGTTAGCATAATGGTTATGTCGCTGGACTCTCATGTAGTCGACTGCAGTTCGAGTCCCAGACCCGGTAGCTTAAGACACGCTGGGCATGTGTGCGTGCGTGCCCAAGATCCCAAAAGAATGGAGGAGAAGGGATTGCGGCGTGGCCATCCCCCCAGGGGGTAATTTCTCGCTTTCTGTCTCTCTGTCTCTCTCTGTCGTGTGGAGGGAAACACTGCCTAAAAAAAAAAAAAAAAAAAAAAAAAAAAATTCTCCAAAAAAAAAAATTGTTTAATTTTTATTATTTATTTGTTTGTTTTAATTTGCCATAGGACGCATGTGCTCACCAGAGATTTGGGGGTGGGGATGAGGAGAGAGTAGGAAAGCAAGCTGCAGTCAGCCATGTGGGAGTCCAGAGCCTTAATCACTATGACAACTGCTAACCCAACACTGGTGGCTTTATAAGAAAGAAGGAGACTGGGGCCGGCAGGTGGCGTGGTGGTTAAAGGCTCTGGACTCCCATATAGTCAACCATGGTTCAAGTCCCAGATCTGGTGGCTTGCTTTCTTACTTTCCCTCTCTCTTTCTCTGATCAATCTGGAAAATAATAATAATAATAATAAAGTTAAAATTTTAAAAAAAAGAGAGAAAGAAAGACGGAGACTAAGACATATTCTTACCCTCTCACCACACGAGACCTGCACTGTCTGGGGACCCGGCAGAGAGCCCCCACCAGCAAGAAGGCCTTTACCAAGCTCAGCCCCTCACCCTTGGACCTCCAGAATCACGAGCTGGATGACCTTTATTCGTTATCCATTACCCAGGCCGTGACGCCCAGTTATACGTAGCAGAAGGGAAATGAACGGAAACGGCCTCTCCAGAAGGACTGGTTGCACGCACAGATGGAATCCAAGCTCTCCAGCTCTGGCCTCCGTGGGGCTCGGTAGCCACACAGTCCCTAAGCCGGTGTGCGGTTCCAGAAAGCCAGCCACGTCTTGCTGGAGTGTGCTTTATTTAGTCACCTGGTCATGGGACATTCTCCATCCAGACATGGCTGTGAACTGAAAGAAGAGTGGCAATAAAATAGCAAATATACCTGGAGTTGCACTCCTGTGCTTCTCCAGGGTTGTCCAGGGCTGCTCACGCACCAGTCCTCCTGGGGAGGGGGTGCTGCTGGGGACCCTCTGGCTTAGTGGAACTCATGTTTAGTTCATGCCAAGCCACACAGGTCACCTGATTTTCAGTCTCTACTAGGGCCCAGGGAAAAGTCAGAGCACTTTTAGAAAATAATAATAGTCATTAGCCAGGGTCAATGGGCAACCTGGTGGTTAGAGGCAATGGATTCCCACACGGCTGACCACGATTTGACCTGGACCTGACAGCTTGTTTTCTCCTTTCTCTCTCTTTCTCTCTCTCTCTCTCTCTGTCTCTCTCTCTCTGTCTTTCTCTGGTCAAATTAAAAAATAATAGAAGCCAGTAGGTGGCGTGGCAGTTAAGAGTGCAGGACTCCCACAAGGCCAACTGCATTTCAAGTCCCAGAACTGGCGGCTTGCCTTTTCACT